CGATATATAAAATTAATTATCATTGACAAAGAGGTGCTGGCAAGTGGCAAAGAATCCTGGGAACAGTTTAATTTGGCATCCATTATGAATATACAAATAAAGACATAAATTTTACCTTTATAGTAATAACTAATCTATTTACCAATATTAAAAACAAACAAATTTGTTTCTCAATTAAATAATTTTTTCAATCCCATTACATAACATTAATAAAAATATTTTAATATATCAGATAAGTCATACAAATGAGGGACGACTTTTTTTAAAATAAAAAATTGTAATTTTTTAATAAATGTTTAAAACTTTAAAATATATTGTCTCTTTATTTTTTAAAAAAATATGTTTAAATGAATAAATTGTTTTTCAAGCAAAAAGTTTTAAATTAAAGCCAAAAATTCTTCGCGTTCACATTACTCGGGCAGCCGGGCTAGTCCACAGTCCACACCATTTTCCTTCCTATACATACACAATACGTATCTATTCATACGCCCATTAGCTTATTAGCAACTTCATATACGCCTTTATCCTCGCATTTAACATTTTTTCGCTTTGGTCCTTTTTCGTCTTGCAAAAGAGGAAAAAAAAAGTTCATCAGATCGGAATCGTTCCTCGCCGATTTGCTCGATGGCGTCGAAAAGGATCCTCAAGGAGCTGAAGGATTTGCAGAAAGATCCACCTACCTCCTGCAGCGCCGGTACTTACTTTTTTTATTTATTTATTTTGATTTTATGTTTATTGTTGAATTGATTCGTTTATCGGTCGTCTATGGCGTTTGATCCGTGGGGATTTGACGATTTTAGCTCGTGTGTTGTCATTTGTGTCATATGGATTTGTTGATGGTAGGGAGCCTACTTGGACTGTGATTTTTGTGGATTTCTGATTTTGATTCTGGGATCTGAAGATGGTGGACTGGTGGTGGANTTTCATTTCGTATTTGAATTTTATTCATTCTGGTATTGTGTTTCTCATTGACTTGATTCATATGTCTATTTGAAGTTTGATCTGTGGTAGTTTGACGATTTTAGCTCGAGAGCTTTGGCTTTTATTTAGTTTGGATTTTTTGATGGTAGGGAAGCTCCATTTTCTTTTATTATTATTATTATTATTATTATTATTATTATGACTGAAGGATGATGTATATTGCTTCTTTTTTATAATTTATCATCCATATCATGATATTGTTTGTAATTTGAATATACACATGTTAAGCCCAATTTTAAATATCAAATATGAATATGAATGTATTATTCAACTAAAGTTTAAAGGCAATGGACATCTGACTTGGAAGTGATATATGTATTAGAGGTTTGGATAGACAATCCTTTTCATAATTGTGAGCCATTTGGTTTTGTTTGTAGTGTATGAGTAATGTGTTAAACTGATGGATGCATGTTTTGGCTTTTGAAATTCAGAACTATATTTGTTTGGCTTTCATCAATATGCAGCAGTATTTGGATTATTTAGGAATTTCATTGAGTGCCCCTTTAAAAGTTAATATTTTGAATTATTTAGGATTAACATTCCTTCTTGTCCCTAACTGAAATGACCCCTTCAGTAAGTTGTTGCCACACCACACCCAACAAAACAGGCTGGAAAGACACCTGCGAACAAGCCAAATCAGCAGACACCAAAATCTGGGGGATCACATTCCTGCAAGAGCTGCAACAGGTACACCAAAATCATGGGATAATCTTTTGATTATTTTTCATGAATAATTATAATTACTGAGCCTGATTCTGAAAACATCTTTAGTATGTATGTTTCTAATATACACGTTCCATGCAATTTTAAAAGATAACTCGTAGTTCTTGTCTGCAAAGTTATAAACCTTAGCTGTACGCTATTGCCAGAATCTTACAAGTTATGAAAGAATGGAACTGAAATATATAATAGTTGTTGTTGGTTTTGCTTGCAGGACATTTACATCTGAGTAAGGCCTTGATTCCCACACAAAAGCCAAGCATGCTGGTAGGATGAAATTGCATTATATTTGAAGATATATTTACTGGTTTTAATTTTTCTAAGTTAGTATCAGATTGTTTATTTTTGTCTCCAATGTCTCTAAACTATAACATGTTTTATTTTTCAGTATCTCTCGTATGTTTAAAACTCCTCTTCACTATCAAGATGAAATAAGTCGTTACTCCGAAAATCTCTCCAAACTCACTCTTGTCAATCCCGTAATCTACATATTTGTGTGTATGAGTTGATCAGTGCTTGTTTTATGAATCAATTTTGATCAGCTTCTGCATACTTGTCATAAATCATTTTTTTTTCTTTTTTTTTCTTTTTTTTTTTCAGATTTTTGCAGAATGCTCGGAACAACTCTGGCATGAAACAGGCTTGGACAGGCTTGCACGGGATGTTCCGATTGATATATTTCCATTGAAAAAGTAATTGGAGCATCCACGAAAATTTATCAACGTTAAAGTAATCTATCACTAAAAACTAAATTTTACGTTTAGTTATAATTTGAATTGAGTTTGGCGATGCTTTTACAATTGCAGACCACATGACATCAGATATCGGCCATCAACCTCCTCTTTTAAGATTTACTATTGTTCCTTATTGAAACGTAGGTATTTGTCACGGAGTGCGCTAATTGTAGTACGAACTAGAACAAAAATTATAAAATGCGGAAGCAATAAATCGAAGATTTAAAAACTCTTCAGGGAAGCGTCCCACTTCCCCTCAGAGCTCTTTCATTGATAAACCGTTTGTGCACACTTGTATAGTTTGGACTTACACGACTCGAACTCCCTTCTAGCCTAGCCACAACTACACACGATTCTATCAACTACTTCTCCGACCACGTCCCGTGGATTTTACCTCTCGAATCCCTCGAGCTAAAGACAGTACTTAATCCCTAAGCACTGATCACACAAGTGTTTGAATGAAAAACAAAGAAAAGAAAACAAAACAGACTTCAGTTCTTCGATGACGTAAGAACACCGAAAACTGACCAACGAAAATAAAACACAAAAAGCTTGCAGCTCGAATATGGAATAGAATATAATGCTCTCAGCTCTCCAAAATTCGTTCTTCAAGCAGGTATATATACAATCCCTAGGATGTGGAGTGTTCTCCAAGTATAGGACTCCTTTTTTATTTCCTTCCAAGTTTATCCAATTTCCTTCCATGTAAATCATAAGAGATATGGTAGGTGTAGATCTCTATCTTCTCTTTCCAAAGATCTTTCCTTCTTATATGATTTCCTACAAAATATATCCATAATAAGATCATGTAAATCTAATATATATGTATATAAATCGAATATATAAATATAAATATAAATATATTCGAATATATAAATATAAATATAAATAAAAGAACTTCCCTTTTTATTTCTCATGCTTGCAAGAATATATCTTCACTTATATTAATTTTTGAACTTCATTGCCAAAAATATAACTCTTTCAATCTCCCCCTTTGGCATCTAGTTCGAAAATCATATAATGAAGATAACCTGAAACACAGTTAGAACAGCAAGCACGAATATGCAGAATAATATCATAAGGAACAAATCACTGCAGTAAGAACACAGTCCATAAAGTACCTGCAGTTACAACTCATTAGACGCACATAGCATAAAACAATCAGAGCAAACATCCTACCAATCACAGCAAGTATTAACAGCAGCCACACAAAAGAAAAGTCATAAGAGGTTCTAACAGCAACCAATCGCATCTATTGAATCTCCCCCTGACTTCTTAGCATCATCCTTGACCATCTCTGCCTTTCTCCCCCTTTTTCGAACTACGGGATGCCGAAGGGCCTGTACCCGTGTTCTTTTTCCACCGTCTTCCATGTGAAGAAACAGCGATGGTTCTTACATAATCCCCAATATCTTACAAAAACAGCAACCAATATAATCAGAAGCAAACAACTATAACATAATCCCCAATATCTTCAGAAACATCCTTTTTCTCCCCCTTTTTAGACTGAAATGCCAAAGGCAAATCTCCCCCTGAGTAAGAACATCGAGTGAGAGAAAAAAAATATAACCGAAGACGAAAGTCGTTGCTTGAACTGATCTCTAATCATTGAAGACTATCCATCTCTTCTCTAGTCTTTTGCCATCAGCCAAAGTGTTTCAGAAGCACAATAGAAAATCATGCAGGAACACAAATGGTTAAAAGAAAAATGCAAAGAGAGAAAAATAAAAATGGGGTTCTCAAGTTCTGAAAATGAAGATATATAGTGAGGACGTGATGGGTGAGGTTCGAAAAAAAATATCAAGGGAAAGGTTGAATACCATGCAGTAAGAACATCCCCATCAAAACTGAACACACAAACTCATTAACACACTAACACACGTGTCCAACTAATTCAAAATTAGGAAGAATAAGATTTTATCATCCAAAAATAAAGTCCCTCACATTTTTTAACGTCCAAGTAATTCACTCAAGAAGGAAATCACATGCATTATGCCTAAGGATGAAAAAATAAAAATAAAACCGCATGCAAGACACTAAAATCAATAAAATCCTTTCTTAATCTACTTAGGCAGGATTGATGCATAATTAATCCAAAATCAACATTGTGCTACAAACACACCAAGGAACAAAACAGAGGCGGTATTATTATATATATGTATATGTAGCGCAAGTCATATCTCTCCAGAATTCCAACACCAAAACAACATAAGCTTTATTATTCACTAGGCTTTTCACTTAGTAACAACCACTGCAATAGTGAAAGTCAACCCCATTACTTTGCCCAATGATTTTAAGCAACAACATTAATTTACATCGAGGCTTTTCACTTAGTAACAATCACTGCAATAGTGAAAGTCAACCCCATTACTTTGCCCCAATGCTCGGTGTAAGAACTCGTTTTTTTTTTTTTGTTTTTAAATCATTATGCACTACGTTTTTTATGAAGATGACCACCTTATAACTCCAAGTAAAAACACCACACAATGAAGTGCAGTGGTTGTCAATAGCTACCACCCTTCACAACATTTTCTGTCCATGACGCTCTTTTCACAGTCGATCCCAAAGGAAACGAACCATGTGCTAGCTATCGCTCTAGATCATTGTGTGAAGGCAGCTCTTTTTGACAGAAATATATTTGTTCCAAGGTATGCAAGAACACGCCATCAATTAAAGACAATCAACATCTCACCCGCTTTCAGAAGAGTCAGAACTTCATTTATGACTTAGTGGTGAAATATATGCAAAAATGCAAGGCATGCCTAATGCAAATAATACCCTATATGCATACACGCAATGCAAATATAATATATATACTAATATACAATACAATATAATATAATGGCATGCAAACAATCAGAGGGTGCATATCCCTAAAGATTTCCTTAGAGAGATAAATCTTTGAGCATCAAGGTTATGTGCTGGAACATATTTGTGAACAATTAATCCATCATCAACCAAATTTCTAGTAAAGTGGCATAGCATGCTAGTACGATTAAGAGAATGTTGAACAGAATATTTGAAAACATTAGCCGCATAAGTAAGGTCAAAGAAAAGGTCAATGGCTTGTACCTCAGTTCCAGATTTAAGAAAAATGTGCTTCATCCACACCTTTTCTGAACAACAAGTTTCAACCACAAGATTCTGATCAGTGTAAGAACAACCATCAGACATACTCCATTGATCAACAGCATTCTCATCCCTATCAGCATCACAATCTCTAACAATACCAGAACTCGCATCACATGAGTCAAAAGTCATATAATCAATCAAATAGCAACTATCATGCGATCTAGACCCTGTAAGAATACAATTATTATTCCTATCTGAAACCAAACATTTATTCAAGGTGAAACTCACAGAAAAGCCTTGATCACATAATTGACTCACACTCAGCAAATTCGCTTTCAAATTTTCAACAAGAAGAACATTTTGAAGTTTGGGCAATCCAGGAACATTCAAACATCCTATACCGAGAACTCTATTCATAACACCATCACCAAAGGTCACAAAACTAGAAGGAACAGGCAAAATATTAATCAAGTTAGATTTTAGACCTGTCATATGACGAGAACAACCACTGTCAAAATACCAATCAGAATTAGAGGTGGATTTCAATGCAAGTATAGAAGATAAGCAAACGTTCTTACTGCCTTTAGGAACCCAAATCTTTTTCTGTTCATGATTAACCACATCAACCTTTAGTTTAGGTGCTTTCAAGGGTACACCATATGAACTCCATTCATCAATTCGACCAGTATAAACATCATTATGCATCCTATAACACTTAGGGCGAATATGACCACAGATACCACAATAGTGACAAACAGGCACAAAGTTCTTACCAGAGTTCTTATGCTGAGTTTTGGTAGAATTAGGCTTACCATTCTTACCTTCAAGGCTGTAGCCTTCTTTGACAAAAGTCAGGTCTGACTTACTCAGAGATGTGCTAGGTTCGCCTACTTTACCTTTCAATTTTTGATCATGAGCGTTCTTACTCTGGTCTGAAGTACCTATTTGTTGACTCATCCTTTGAACTTCAGCAAATGAGGACTTGGGCTTGTTGATCATCTTGACAATCTCCTCACTCTTGCTGAGTTTCTCCTCCATTGTAGAACAATAACTCTTGAGCGTTACATGTTCTTCCATCACTCGACCGAGTTCTCTTTTGAGTGCAACAATCTCGGTTTCCCTTTCATCTATAGTTTTCTGCAAGACAAACATTTCATTACGTAGAGACTCAATGATAAAAACCTTTTCATCACATACCTGCTTGGACAACTTCTGTTCATGTTCTAACATCGTGATTTTGGCAACAAATTCGTCCAGCTTATGTTCCTCCTTGCTGGTATGAACATCAGATCTGGTCAGCTTATCATTCAGTTCGCCATTCATCATGCGAGTTTTCTGAAGTTCATCCTTCAAGTAGGTGATCTCTTTCTCATGCTCTGCAGAACGATGTTGGAACACCTCGACTTGAGCTTGTAGCTTTTTCACCATTTTTCCAGCTTTGATGCTCGTCTCTAATGCAAGCTTATGGGTAGCCAAATCTACTTCAACAGAACCATCTCCAGAATCATCAGAATCACTATGAGAATTATACGTGTAAGAACACATACCTGAATCGGCATCACAAGGCTTATGAGAGGCTGTATAACACGTGAAGTTATTGAGAGAAGTGACGGCAAATTTGTTCGTGTGTTGCTGGTCATCATCGTCTTCATCATCATCCCACGTGGCTCGATAGGTTTTGTTCTTCCTCGTGAAATTCGGACAGTCTTTCTGGAAGTGTCCAAATCCCTTGCATTCACGGCATTGGTTCTTCTCTACATCTTGATTCTGAGTCTTCTGAGAATGTGAGTTGGAACGTCGTTCACCAGACTGCTGATTGATGTTCTTACTGAAGTCAGTAGGCTTCTTCCCTTGGAACTCCTTTTTCTTCTTTAACTGAGAGAAGTGGCG